AAAGTACCCATATAGGGACTGCATTAAGGCCAAAGTATATGCTATTTGGGTACATGGACCCTTAGGGATAGTTCCTGTGTCTGAACCGCGGACGCTGCCTTCCCGCGTTCGTCTCGAGAGTGGCTGTCAGTTTTCAGGGTACAGGGCTTTGGGACTGGACTGCCGGAGCTGTGGGAATCCAGTCAGGCTTCGCAATCCAGACAGGTCGCAAGCAAAGGCATCGAGTCTTTCAGAGCCACCAAGACAGTGGCCTTCACCGACCTTGCATCACAAAGGCAGCAAGCTTGTCTGCAAAAGCTCTCCCTCTCAGCTTAAACCCCCGGCCCCACGTCCTCGGTCCAAATTTAATCCCACAACTTGAACAATACTTGCAAACATAAAGAAACTCGTAGAAAATCTCTTTAGACCTCCGAACACCATATCTTGAAGACTCCTAAACATTCTGCAACACCCGATGAACCCAAGCTGCGAAACTAATGAGGCTATTTGGATGCAGAGGCCCTCGTCCAGCGCGAGCACGTGGGCAAGGCGTACGGTCATAGACACCGGTGCTCTTTCAGAGTTGTGTAAGCCTTTTCCATGGGTGTTGGCCATTTTTTCGGCCACGCGGCTGTCCTCAACTCTGAACCCGAAAGCCTCAAGCGCCAGGCCCTTTTCCGTGGCAGCACTGTGCGAGATCGCTTGGTGGAGCGGCTGGAGCGTCAATTTGCCATGCGTAGCGCCGAGGCCGGCAACATCCGAGGTGTAATACGGTTTAGGGTTTATAAGGTTTAGGGTTTAGGGGTTTAGGGTTTAGGGTTTAGCCTCCTTGAGAGCTCTGTGGTACTCTCCTTAACATCGTAGGCCCCGATTGCCACAAAGTAGGTACATGTTTGGAACTTAGACCCCAAGCTAGGTAACTGTTGTATGCCTGGAGACGCCTTCGGGCAATCAAACCTGCAAGCCACATATCCTCTTTCAATAGTACAGTGTTCCCTTATAGCTTGTCTGTTGGGGCTATGGTGTTTACTCTAAACAAGAGCCGCATGAACGTAAGGTCCTATACCCTAAACCCTAAACCATAGCGGTGTCCCGGTTACGGCCGATGGTTTCCGGAGCTTCAGGGTGAGTTATTTTGCCGCATCGGGGTTTTACATTTTGGCCACGGTTTAGGGTTTAGGGGTGACTTATGGCTTCACTGGGCCTCACACCACTTGGACAGCTCGTAGAACTATTCCCTCACGTTCCTGACGAAGTTGTGCGGAGCCTCATGTGTCGACACGTAGGTAATTCTCCATACTAACGGGGACCCCGAAATAGCTCGGCGCCCTTGTAGAAAGTAGCCCAAAAGAGACTTTAATTTAGAGAGCTACCAATATGTAATTCTGTTAAGCTGGCTGAGGACGGTTTTTTGAAGGAGTTTTGGATTTAAGGCTTAACGGCTTAACGGCTGTCGCTTGCTGAGTTCGCAATTCAGTGCTTGTAAGCTACCTACAGTTACAGCCTCCATTGTAATTAGTTGCTTTTGGGAGTTACCTGTACAGGATCCTTAATAGATAGTTAGTTAAACCAGAAAAAGGACCTACAATGGAGACTATAGGTAAAGTACGCACAGTACTGTAGTGCTACCTGAGACCTGGAAGCACTACTTTGTGTTTAATGATTGTATCTTACCTGTATATGCTCTTGACAGGTAGGCTGGACCTTGGGGTACCGTTTGGAGAAGTTCTCAGTAGAAGTGCAGTATAGTATACTGCAGCCCCTATACCCTAGTCTAATGAATACGGCCTCTCGACTACGATCCTAGGATTAGAGGTAATATGGGGGCCTTAATAATTAGAACAGGGTTTTGGGGTATACTGTACTATAGTTATTATAAGGAACCCCCGGCCCAAAATAGTCTTGGTAATTATTAAGGCTCCTACATTACATGGTTGAAGCATCGACACCACGAAGCGTGATTCCCAGACTTTGTGCAGGGAGACCTAAACGTGAAGCGAGCAAAAACATCTGAGCAGAGCATACATTATTGTCGCATATACGCTTGCATGCTCTATTTGAATTTGTGTAGGGCAATACCCCTCAAACTATATACGATAGAGAGAGACACAGAGAGAAAGTTTGTCAGGTGTACATCTATACAAACAACCTACATACAAACAAGAAATAACAGCATGTATACAGATGATTACCTACAGATATGCATCCATGTGTCTGTTCACTAAGAGATAGATGCCTTACGGACCAAGACCCCAGAGTTGCAGAAGCTCCCACGCTCTCAGTGCCCTTATGCGCTTATGTAGAAACCTGAAGCCCCAAGCCAAAGAACCCCAAATGGTAGACGGTTACCTTGCTCCCAACAATCCAAAACCCGAAACCATGGCGCAGGGCAAGATGGTACGTCCGAGGGACTTGTACATGGCCGTGAAGCAGTCGCGAGATCACAAGTCTACACAGCTCTCGGCCATCTTGCGCATGGAGGACATGGAGGACGTTGCGGCTTGGCTGCCGTTGAGGCTGGAGGCATTTGGGGGTTTCGGAAAATAGGGGACCCTAATATAGTACCCCAAATAATAGGATCCTTATTATAAGGACCCCGAAGTAAGGTACCCCAATTTCGGAAAATCCCATTTGTCACGAGTTCTTACATAGAAATGCGAACAGACGGCAGGTTCACCACAACAAAAGATGTAATAGCAACAAGTGACGATAGCAATGGCAACAAGCAGCAGCTAAAACCAAGGAAATAGAGAGATGTGAGGAACTATGAACATAGGAATGGAAAGATTGGATAATATCGTGGCTGCCAGACTTGTGAGGCCCGGAGGCAGGGAGAGAGAGAGACAGAGGGATACCATAAACCAACAAGGGGATTGAATGAAGAGTCTCAAGAAAGCATTGGACGGATCATGGCAGCAACGTGATACTCGCCGTCGTCATCATTATCAACATCATGCGGAAAGTGAGCATACTCGTTACTGAGCCTCCCCATACCTTAATCTAATCAGAACTAGAACAGGGTGGCTCTTAAAGGACTAAGAAGTGGGCGTGTTTACAAAGGCCTACTTGAAAACCCTACAAACCTTGATAGAACCCCTCAGCCCTAAACCATGTAAAAACCACTCCAAACCAAAACCCCTAACGCCCTGAACCCTATATACACCCCAAATTTGAACCCTTACAACCCTACAAGACCTACATTTTCCTGAACCCGAAACCCCTTCTCATTGTTGAGGTTTTGGAGCTGAAGCGAATCCACCAGAAAGTCATCGACAAAGTGCGGAAGCCGATGAAGGTAGGCTGTTCTTTTAGGGTTTTGGGTGGGGGTTGAGGGTTTAGGCTTTATAGGGTTTTAGGGTGGGGGTTCTTAAACATAAGGGTCCCTGTAGCGGTTGGTTTAGGGTTGAGGGTTTAGAGTTTAGGGTTTAGGTTTGGGTCCGTTTAAGGATTCCCTTTAAGGGGTCCATTTTCGGGGTTTAGCTTTGGGTCCGTTTAAGGATTCCCTTTAAGGGGTCCATTTTCGGGTTCCTCTACCGGTTCGTTTAGAGTTCCTGTGAAGTTCTCGTTCAGGTGCCATTTTTCGAAGAGTGATACCTTCTTTCGGGGACTTAAATTTAATCCCTAAACCCCAAACAGCAATTCACCTTAAGCCGTATACCCTAAGCAAGAATGAATCTTAAACCGTAAACCCTGACCAATAATGAACCCTAACACCTAAAAGTCTGGACCCTACTTGGACCCTACGAACTTCCTCTTTCAAAAGGAGTTCATACAAGGAGATCCATGTAAGGAGCCCTAAAAAGGCAGGTTCTTCAGGGTGTTTTGTTATACCCTAAGCCAAACCCTAAACCCTAAACCGCTAGACTAGAACCCTGAACCCCTAAACCCTAAACCGCTAGCCTAAAAACCTAAACCCGTAAACCCCTAAACCCTAAATTCGCAGGTCACTTCTCAATACCCGTCGATCTCGTGGAGGCAGTTTATGGACTGCTCCTCGGCAACCTTTAGGCTTTTTTCCACCCAAAACCCAGCCTTTAAACTTGTTGGTTTAGTGTTTAGAGTTTTGGGATTTAGTAGTAATCTGAAAGCCCTAAACCCTAAACCCTATAACCTTCGACTTCCCTGGCTTATTGGGGAAGTAAGTTGGAGGGGGTTGGAGGATTTGGCGGTCTGGAGTTGACTTGAAAGTGTAGGGCGTGCGGTTTACGAGATGATTTTAGGTGTTGAGGGTTTGGGGCTTAAGGGTTCAAGGGTTTAGGGTTTGTAGGTGTTTAGGGTTTAGGGTTTTTAGGTGTTAAGTCTTTGGGCTGAGGGTGTCAGCCCTAAACTTTACGCCCTAAGCCGTGGATCAAGCTCGTTGATTCTCGGTCTCGGTCAGAACTAACCGTTCGTATTTCTTCGAGGGCTTCAAGGTTTAGGGTTTAGGTTCTTACAGCATCATGTAGGAAGGACTTGGCTAGACTCTCTTAAACACCAGGCAAGCCTCAGAAAAGCAAGAAAGCTTGCTTTTCGAGGAATCCGCAACTCAAAACAGGAACCCCTTTCAGACAGAAGTATTGACTCTATAGGACCCCTTTCAGACGGAAATATTGACTGTATAGACTCTATAGGTTTTTTGGACCCGTAGTGTAAGGTTGCCCATTGAGGGAGATGTTGTTTTAGGAGGCTGGCAGGGCCAAAAAGGGTTTAGGATTTAGGGTTTGTTTTTCAGGTTTGGGGTCATATAGAAGCTTCAACCAATAAGAACAGGGGGCAAGACACCGCAAACCCGAAACTACATCTTGAGTACATAGGCGTCCTAACACCACATCTAGCACATTCCATACTTTCGGGCACCTTTGGTTTCTAGACCCGGCTCGCCAAAGCCTGATTCCCTGAGCCCTGAACTTATTCCTGAACCGTACACCCTAAACTCAACAACAGCCTTGAAACCTAACACCTATAGACACTAGCAGCCTGGGGGTTAGGGCTTAGGATTCAGGGACCTATCCTTTACCAGTTGAAACCCCCAGACCCTAAGCCCTGAAAGCCAAAATCCAACACCCTACTGTTGATGATCTAAGTCCTGCATTACCCTAAGGACCCTAAAGTATGAGAGTTATGGTATATTCCTTCTTTTATTATAGATAATGCAGGATTTATATCATCAAACCCTAAACCCTAAACCCTCAGGATTTATATCATCAACCGTGGACCGAGGCATCCTTCTCGAGGATTTGACCAAGCACACGCAAGGACCGACACCGTGCACCCAGAAGTGCCGGTGATACGGTTGATGATATGAGTCCTGCATTACCCATAATAAGGAATATGCCACATTTCCCGTAGTATAGGGTCCTTGAGCTAATGCAGGATTTAGATCATCACCAGTAGCACGGTGACAGTGATGACACAGCGACAGAGGTGATACGGTGGTGAGAAGGTAGTGCCGTGGTGACGCCCAGTCACATGGTGACTGTGTCAGAATCTCATGCTCACAATGACTGGAATCGTTTACATAGGGTTTGGGGTTCAGGGTCATATCTTCAAGTTGGAACGGATCATGCTCAACAAGAGCCCCTTAATTGCGGGGCGCCCTCAAAACATACACCATAGCCACCAAAGTTTAGGGAACATTCCTTCAGTGGAGGTTTTGAAGTCCCTTCGGACCTCAACCCTTGCAAAATTACTTGCTGTTGTGGCACGTTATATTTTTCTTTCGCATGTCTTAATTCGCATGTTTGACATCCCTTGAAGGGTTATGGGTGCTTAGCAGCTAGGAATATGAGATTGTTCCAAACTTGAACCCTAAACGCTGACCTCATTGACCGTCAGGTAAGAACAGTTGCAGCGGGTTGAGGTTCTTGCCGCCGTCCTCTGAACTACCCACGACTCGGAAGTAATCCCCAAGTGTTTTGGAGTGCAAGCTTTTGGGGCGGCAGCCCTCGACTGATCACCCCCGCTCCAGTACAACACACATCCCGAACGCCCACCGAACAGGAGCAGTAACACCGTAAAGCAAAGGGAAGATACAGCTGCGAAGCACAGGTTTTTGGTGAAGAGCCTAGGACCTTTACATGTAGAGGTTTTGTCCCCCAAGTGCCAGACTTTTCAACACCGTATGGACGCTATACTCCCCTCATAATTATAGCGTCGTAGAGTCGTCGAGTCCAAAGCTAGTAACTTATAACTCATAGTATTACTACTTTGAACTGGTTTAGGGTGGTATCCCATTGCTACTATATATATATATATGTTTATATATATATATATATGTATAGATAAAGTAGGGGCTATACGGGGACACGATGGCGAACTTTCAGATGCCTATATGAAGGCCTGCAGAGCAGCCCTGATACATCGCTTGCAAAACCTGAAAGTTTTACAAAACCCTTGCCCAAACAAACAAACAAAACCCTAAACCCTAAACCCTGAACCAAACACGTTCTCATCCGTCCTTACTATTGAGACCTCTGTCTGCCCGACCAGTCATAAAGTGCAGCGGTCGTTCTCAGATTCCGGGTTTGGGTCAGGGAGCCCTCCCAAACTCCTAAACCCTAAAAACACTAAGCGCAAAGAACCCAATCACCAAAACATACCTATATGAGCCCCTCAACACCAAAACCCTAAACGATTAACCCTGAACTCTGAACCCTAAACCCTAAACCCTAAACTCTAACCCAGAAGAAAGCCTTGTAAACCCTAGTTAAGCCCCTCCAGGGCAGACTGCCCTGAGCATCTTCATCGTCCAACGCGCCTTGCTGGGGGATGAGATGCCCTCCACCGGGACCTCGAGCCTCCCGGGCGCACAGGATTTTGAGGGTTCAGAGTTGAGGGTTGAGAATTTAGGGCTTTCTGGCTTTAAGGTTTAGAGCTTAGGATTTTGCGGGTTCAAGGTTTTGCGTTTAGGGCTTTTTGGGCTTTATCGTTTAGGGCTTGGGATATTTGGGGTTCCGGGTTTAGGGTTTAATTAAGGATTTTGGGTTTTTTGGTTTAAGGTTTAGTGTTTAGGGCTTTGAGGGGTCCTTTAAGGCATCTAGAAGGCTCAGGGCACCACAGCGGTACTGTAAGGGCGCTATTGGGGTGTTGGGCAACGAGTTTGGGGTTTGTCGGGCTCTGGGTTTGGGGTTTAGGGTCTAGGGTTTAGGGCTTAGGGTTTAGGATGTAGGGTCTAGGGTTTAGGATGTAGGGTCTAGGGTTTAGGGTTTAGGGTCTAGGGAGTTCAGCTTTCTTGTTGAAAGTTTGGGTTTGGCATGAAGAGGAGTTCGTACTTGAATTGCAACTGCCTTGAAAGCTGAGGTCGAAGATGGAAGTGCAGTGTGGGGGTTAGGGTTTAGGGCTTAGGTGTTTAGGGTTTAGGGGTTTAGAGTTTAGGGTTTTAAGGTTTTAAGGTTTAGGGTTTAGGGTTGCTTGCAAGAGTCCTGGATGCAAAAAGGGTTTCGGGTTTAGGGTCTAGGTGGGGTCTTGGTGTGAAGGATTAGGGATTGCGTGTCGAGATTTGGGGTTCAGGGCCATTCAGTTCAGGGGCCCTGTCACTCCACCCCAAGCCGTTTTTCGTGAGGTGCTCTGCTGATGGCCTATGAGAAAGTGCGGCGCCCGATCCTGGGTCAAAAGCTGAGGGGTTTTTAGGATTTAGGGTTTAGGGTTTCACAAGATCCTAAACCCTAAGCCCTAATGAAGTCCCTCATCCGTACATTCGCCTTGTACCCTGAACCCCACACCCTCAACCCGAGCAACACCATACCCTGGAGCTTGATGTCTAAAGCCAAGAACCCACGAAACCAGCACAAAACCCCAAAAGCCTAGACCCCTAAATCTTAAATTGCCATGCCATGCCACCCCCATGCCCCAAACTCTAAACTCTAGGCCCGAAATCCCATACAACCCCCCCCCCGCCCCCCCAAAGATTCCTCCACCCCTAAATTCCAATGGTCCAAAACCCTAAACCCCAACAGCCCCGCACCAAGGATTCCGATAGTTCAGCGCATCGTGAGCATGGCGATCTCGCTGTCCACAGCTGCCATCATCTTGAGCTTCATCCTGCTAGGCTAGGGTTTAGGGTTTAGGGTTTAGGGTTTAGGGTTTAGGGTTTAGGGTTTAGGGTATAGGGTACAGGGTACAGGGTTTAGGGCTAGGGTTTAGGGCTTCGGGTACAGGGTATAGGGTTTAGGGCTGGGATTTGCAGTTTAGTGTAAGGATTTCTTGCTATGCCCTCCGTCAATCCTAGAAGCCTACCTTTTCAAGGGCAGGTGTAGTATCCCCCGAAAACTGGGTTCTTCAGGGTTCCCGGTGGATTAAAGCGATGAGATCGTATGGAGCTCCAGGGATCACAAAAGCCCCCTAAACCCGAAACCCGATCTCAGCACTCGATACCTCTGGAATTGTCCGAAGCCTCAGGCTTTGAAACTCCGAACCTACGCCCTACGCCCTGGTAATAGGGTCTAGGTTTTGGTTTAGGGAGCTCAAGAAGCCTCACAACTTATCCCGGCTTCAGAAATGCTTCCGAAACAAAAACCGGAAGCTCCTTAACGTCGTAAGTTTACAGCCTAAGCAGTTTTTTCACCCTGTAGACTCTGTAGAACCAATGCGAAAGCCTTTGTAAGACCTATGTCAATTCGGAGCCCTATAGCCAAAACATGCCCCCTGCAACAGGCATAACTCTCGACAACAACCCCGAGTGGCTTGGCTGGATCGCTTTGGATGGCGTCTTCGCGGCCATCTTCGTCACCGAGGTTCCGAGCAACTGAAAGATCAACCCTAAACCCTAAAGCCCTAAAGCCCTAAATCCTAAACCCTAAACCCTAAACCCTAAACCCTAAAACCCTAAAGCCCTAAATCCTAAATCCCCAAAACCCTGAAGACCTAAAGCCCTAAACCCTACACCGAAAGATCCAGATGGGTTGATGGGGTTTGATGAACGGTTTTGGACAGGTTCTACAGGGCCTTTTTGGAACTTCGAGAGTCCTACGGCTGATGATGTAGATGCCGCATGACCTTAAGGATCCTAAACTATGGGAATTATGGTATATCCCTTATTATGGGTAATGCAGGATTTATAGCATCGACCGTACCTACACTCTAATATAAGCCCCTGAGCTATGGGAAGTATGGTATTTTCCTTATTATGGGTACGTAATGCAGGATTTATATCATCCACCGTATAGGGCTGTATGAGAGATTGGGCTTCGGAAGGTTCTAATAAGGATGGCTGCGGTCAAAGGACCCAAAGGGATCCATGGATCAAGGCATTGGTTCCCTAAACCCTAAACCCTAAACCCTGTTGGGGGTGTATAGAAGGTTAGGGTTTAGGGTTTAGGGTTTCTTTTTTTGGAGATCTGAGTTTTTATAAAGGGTTTGGGTTTAGGGCTTGGGGTTTGTTTTTGTTGGGGCTTTGGGGGTTTACAAGGGTTTGGGTTTAGGGTTTAGGGTTTGTTGTTGTTTGTGGGTTTAGTGGTTTATAATGGGGATTGGGTTTAGGGGTTATGGGTTTGGCTTTTTGTTGGGGGTTAAGGGGTTCATAAGGGTTTGGGTTAAGGGCGTCGGGTTTGTTTTTGTTGGGGGTTAAGGGGTTTATAATGGGGTTTGGGTTTAGGGGTTACGGATTTGTTTTTTTTGTTGGCGGTTTAGGGATTCATAAGGGTTTGGGTTTAGGGCGTCGGGTTTGTTTTTGTTGGGGGTTTAGGGGTTTATAATGGGGTTCGGGTTTAGGGGTTACGGATTTGTTTTTTTGTTGGCAGTTTAGGGGTTCATAAGGGTTTGGGTTTAGGGTTTAGGGTTTGTTGTTGTTTGGGGTTTTAGTGGTTTATAATGGGGATTGGGTTTTAGGGGTTACGGGTTTGGCTTTTTGTTGGGGGCTAAGGGGTTCATAAGGGTTTGGGTTAAGGGCGTCGGGTTTGTTTTTGTTGGGGGTTTAGGGGTTTATAATGGGGTTTGGGTTTAGGGGTTACGGATTTGTTGTTTTTGTTGGCGGTTTAGGGGTTCATAAGGGTTTGGGTTTAGGGCGTCGGGTTTGTTTGTGTTGGGGGTTTAGGGGTTTATAATG